ACACACACAGAACACACACACCGTGTAGTGACACACACAGAACACACACACCGTGTAGTGACACACACAGGACACACACACCGTGTAGAGACACACACAGAACACACACACCGTGTAGTGACACACACAGAACACACACACCGTGTAGTGACACACACAGAACACACCCACCGTGTAGTGACACACACAGAACACACATACAACACACACACAACACACCCACCACCGTGTAGTGACACACACAGAACACACCCACCGTGTTGTGACACACACAGAACACACACAGAGCACACACACACCGTGTAGTGACACACACAAAACACACACACTGTGCAGTGACACACACAGAACACACACACACCGTGTAGTGACACACACAGAACACACCCACCGTGTAGTGACACACACAGAACACACATACAACACACACACAACACACCCACCACCGTGTAGTGACACACACAGAACACACCCACCGTGTTGTGACACACACAGAACACACACAGAGCACACACACACCGTGTAGTGACACACACAAAACACACACACTGTGCAGTGACACACACAGAACACACACACACCGTGTAGTGACACACACAGAACACACCCACCGTGTAGTGACACACACAGAACACACACAGAACACACCCACCGTGTAGTGACACACACAGAACGCTCACAGAGCACACACAGACACGGCTTACTAGAATAATCAGGCCTCCTCAGCGCGACCGTAGTCTGAAAATGTGGAGGCGACGCATAACTAGGTCAGAACGTGGGAGTCACATTAAACAGCCGATTGTCATCTCATTCCTATAAAGAGCATTTAACAAATTCCAAGGCAGAAATAGAGAAATATCCTTCCTTTAAAACCAATTAGCTTTCAATGTTCACTTTACAATACTCCATTTTTGAAAATGTTCTTCATTTTAATTACAATTGTTTGTTTTTTTACTTGAAAAACATTTCTGAAATTTAATAGGTCAGGGGAGGTGAGAAGAACAGCGACGGAAGTAAACAAAGTTTTCAAAATGTCCGCCGCCTTGCCTTGTGACTTGTGATGTGAAACGTGTGACAGGAGGATAGGCCGAGAGTATTTCATTTGGATTATCAATTTCAGTGCTTTCTAATGGAATAATGTACATTGTATAATAGACCTAGACTGTTGAAAATGGGCAGAAGACTAGATCTAGAGTCTAGATCTAATCTAGATCTAGATCTATCACGATCTAAATCTAGAATAGAATGTAGATCTAGATCTAGATCTAGATCTAGAATCTAGTTCTAGACTATAGATCTAGTGTAGTGTCTAGGGACATGAGAGAAATGAAGCTCACTTGGAACGAGCTTGGAAGGATGGCTCAGGACAGAGATAAATGGAAGGAGCTTGTATGTGACCTATACCCTGCCAGGGGTGAAAGGCATTTATGATGATGATAGATCTAGATCTAGATCTAGATTAGGTCTAGATCTAGATTAGATTCTAGATCTACAATCTAGATCTAGATTCTAGATTCTAGATTTAGATCTAGATCTAGATCTAGATTCTAGATCTAGATATAGATAGCTAGATCTAGATCTACACGATCTAGATCTAGATCTAGATCTAGATTCTAGGTCTAGATCTCTACCTAAAGATAAAGGTGAGAGAACGTTGGATGAAAGCAATCACACGCAACAATATACTCGATACTGCAAATACTGTTGTTTGTATTCAACATTTTCCAGATGGATTTGAAACTATTTCTGTCAAAGGAAGATTACGACCAAGAAACCCTCCATCGCTATTTTCTAATTTGCCCAAAAGTTTAATTCCAACACCAGTGCCCTTAGCAGGAACAACATGTAGAGCTAGATCTAGATTTAGAGCTAGATCTAGATTTAGAGCTAGATCTAGATCTAGATCTAGATCTAGGCTAGTTATTCAGTCAGATCAGTTGAAAGTGACCAGTTAGAAGAATATTCACAAAAAGACATTGTTTCTTTTGATTCATTGTGTTCATTTGTAGGAGCCAGTGTGTGACAAGGTAG